TCAGGAAGTACCTTCCTAAGCTGTCTTTGTGTCCACTATGTGGTCTAGTTTGGGCTTCTTTTGAATAGTTTTCTCACAGTGCTTACTGATACTCATTTTTCGGTGTGAACAAAAATTGAATGCCAACGTCGGTAATATCGGTTATCGGTAATATCAGAAATCTTAATATCGGATATCGGTATCGGCCAAAAAATTTAATATCGTGCATGACTAGTAATGATACAGAGATTCTAACCCTGCAAGTGTTTTTGAGAGTGTACACTGTAGTGCTGTGGTGGAACTGACTGCTCCTTCTAACCATGATGTGTCTGTTCGGATATAAAAACACTGCATGGACGTGTTACCAAGGCCACAAACATGACTTTCACTGGTGTTTACGTTTTCACTGCATGATGTTAGTTTTAAAACAAATGAATGAAATCTGTTCCTGACTTGTTCATCTTTTGAAAAGATGACAAACTGTTACGTAACAGAACAGGGATTTTTAATTAAATAACTTGCATAACAAAAAAAATCCTTCATAATCATCTTCAACACGTACGCTGAGCTGAGCTGCAAAACAAAACAAGTGATCAACAATAACTGGGCACAACGTCTGAACATAAATAAGCAAATGAAATAACTCAGTTATTACCAGTGACAAGGTGAAATGCATTCTGCAGTACAGAGCCACTGAAGACACAGAAGATCCTGTTTTCATTGTTTCCACAAAGCACTCGTGTGTTTGCACAAACTACCACATTGTTCCTGTCAAGTCAGTATGTCGTGTGTTTTTCAAGTTAACACCGTATCTGCACGAGTCATGATTTGGTGCATTGTTGAGGCTTCTGGGGCTCTGCATCATAGCTATATTTAATCAGCTACATAAAATTTACAGGCTGTGAGACTGTACACTGAAAATCTGGTCAAACTCTCTGGGTGCTTCTACTTTTGGTGAAACTAATGAATGATGGAACAAAATCAAAGGACTGCAGGAGCCTGTAAAACCCCAGGTTCAGTTCTGCTACATGTGATTCTGCCTTTTTTGTCTTTTATTTTTATTTTTTAACTCCTTTGTCACTCTTAAATAAAACTAAATGAAATTAAACGACAAAAAACTAAATATCACAAGATGAAGTTAAAATAAAAATCCAAACTCAGTGATCGTGGCTCCCTGGCGCCACAGGACGGCTCAGCTGAAGGATGTCAAAGGAGAACTCAGACATGATTTATCAGCAAAAGTTGAACATGTGCTGATCTCAGATCCTTTCTTTTACCAAAGGAGGCAGTTGTTTCTTCTGTCTCTGCTCTCCAGCAGTTCTTTGTTACATTCTTTGTGCTGAAAACCAAACAGGCGTCCAATCATCAGTCCAGAAACGAGTTCCTGCTTTTTTTTAACGTCAGCTATCTCTGATATTCTGTGTTTCTGTTGCACGGGTTCAGAGCTTCATGTCTCTGCTGCTTCTCCCTCGTGGAAACATTTTGGTCTTTGAAGGAGATGTCCGCCGGCCGTTAAGCCAGGCTCCTCTGCCTCGGCTTGATCCTCAGATACAGCTGGACAAAAAGGAAGAGAGTTTCTCATTAAAACGCCATTAAGATAACATTAAATTCTGAAACTTCTTACATAAGACTGTTGGGTCACATGATTCTCACAGCTGCTTTAAACCGTGATTAAAACAGATTTAGGGGCTTGAAGAAACAGCCTGAGACTGGCAGGGTGGATGGGTCCATTCCCCACACAGCTCCGTGGACAGCAGGACATCATAGTCCCACAGCTTCCATACAAATCCCTAGAAATGGCTTTTCTATTCTTTCTTTAATAGGTTCCTGGAAACAAGGTCTTTAACAATGTCTTCTGGTAATGACTGCAGGGACATGAGGACTTGGTTACTTGGTAGTTTAACCTCTTCATACAATTCAACAAATAGAGACTGAAAGTGAAACTGGGTTTTGATTTTAGAATCAAGTCTTTTGAGGCCAAAAAGTCCTGGTCGCTGCCACTTTTATGTCTGTGTTGGACGATAGAGATACAGTACATACGAATGGTTCCGCTCAAAGCCTGAGTGTTTCAGATTCAGTTCATCACGGCGCTTTAAGGTTCATCACCAACTTTAAGTCTTTTACTCTTCATTGTTTGCTGTACTCTCGTGTCGGATGGTCAGATTTGACCACATGAAGGAATAAACACTGGCATGTTTTAATTTATAAATGTATTTTAGGCTTGCTTCCTCGTTATTTACAGGTTTTTATTTGTACAGAAGTGGTTCCAGTCTGTGGTCCCAGGATCTACTCTGACTGTCTGTTCCTGAGGCTAGAACTGAAGAAAGCTTTTAAACTCGCTGCTCCGTCTACCTGGAACACTTCACAAAAAGATCTAAAACTGCAAGAGCTGGTCTCTTTAAACACCTTTAAAGTGTTTAGAAATGACTTGGAGGCAAAAACATCAGTCTGTAGATGTTTTGAAAGAGAATTGTTTGTGCTAGTTATGTTTCTGATCTCTGCTGATATGTTCGTTTCTTATCTTCCTAATCTCACCATCTATTATGAGTAATGACTTCTGTGTGGATGCTGTTGTGATCTTGTCTGTCTGTCAGTTGTGCTGCTGCTGCCTGTCTTGGCCAAGACGCTCTTGAAAAAGAGATTTTTAATCTCAATGACAACCAAAAAGCTCCTGGAAGACCATCTGAAGTTGCAGAGCTTTTAAAATAAAGCATGAAGTGCCTCTGTAACTTAGTCTCACCCTCCTGCAGACCACGCACAATTCACCCACAAGACTTTGTTGAAGTACTCGTCTTCAGAATCTCGGCTTATGACAAACACTTCCCTGTTGGATGCTTCCTCGGTTTTCCCTCCTCAGGCTGTAGCTACTCCATGTAAAGCGCTACCATTCCTCCCCTCTTTACCCTCTTCAGCGCTGACAAACTGATCATGCTGGTCGACATAAAATGCGATACCAGTGCTGGACTGTTGCCACAGATCCAAAGCTCTGGTATACTGTGAAATACAGACGGTCATACCAGGCGCTGACAGGCTTGATCAGTCCTGTGTGACCTTATTTGGCTTCAAAGTGGTGAACTCCAACCTTTCAATGCTGCTTTGATGGAGCCATGAATTCAGACATTTTTGAGAAATCTGAACAAACAGCTACGAGCAGCTTTGATCTAAAATGTTGGTTAAAGGTCTATCAGTTGTTGGAGGATAAACTTGGCAGCTCACCCCCAGCAGGTTGCGGGGTATGTAGCCCTCGCTGTCGCCACATCGCGCCCACCACCACTCCGTCTCCACCTCGTCCTCCCGTCTCAGCACGGTCATGCAGTCGCCCTCAGTGAAGCCGAGCTCGTCGTCACTCTGAGGCTCGTAGTCCCACAGGGCGTACACCACGCCTCGGTTCATTACGCCCATCTTTTCCTGAACGCCTGTGAAGACACAAAGCGAGAAAACACTTAAAAACCAGATAATCAAAACGTCACAGGGACACTCACAGTTTGTTGTCAGACATCTACTGGAGGCAAAGTTAGTCTGATAAAATCACCTTATGAATACAAAAGACTCTGAGGGAGCTCTGACAGGAACCAGTAACAGAGATCATATTTCTCCTGTGTTAGCTTCTCTTCATTGGCTCCCTGTAAAATCCAGGATAGAATTTAAAATCCTGCTTCTAACATATAAAACTCTTAGTGACCAGCTCCATCTTACCTTAAAAACCTCAATGTTTAGGCTGATATCCCTAAAAAACCCTAAAACTTGATCAAGAACTCCCATTGGGCAAAAAAACCACATTCTTATTTTTCTTGGATGAGAAGTGAAACGTCTTCAAGGAACTCAAGCAAGTCCAGTAGCTACAGTTAATCCACGGGAACTCCTTTAAGTCCTTACAAATCTTCCAAAAGGTTCTTGAGAACAACACAAGCTTGGCCTGGTTCCCCCTGAACTCTCCTCCAACCTTATAAAGCCTCTCAGTGGATCAAGGAACATCCCTATAGACACTTGAACAAGTTCCCAGGATCCAAAATCCAAAACCACACGAGGGACTACCTTGGCTTTCTAGAGTTCTGTCAGCACGCTACACAACCATGGCGATCGTACAGTGCCATAAGCTTTGCCTCACCGTAGAGGAACTGCGAGCACTGGGCGTAGCCGTCCTCCATCTCCTCACACTTGTCAGCAGCCGTCTGCATGTCGCTGTAGGTGGTGGCGAACACGGCCGCCCCCGACTCCACCAGGAATTTGCAGACCTGAACGTTGTTGCAGGAGGCAGCGCAGTGAAGGGGAGTCCTGCAGATGAGGAGGAACAGATTTAGTCTTGTGCTGACTCACAGCTGTTTCCTTGGTTGGAAATATAAGCTTAGCCAAACAGAACTTTCAGGATGGATCAACAATAGGGATGCTGTTTCCTCCAAAGGTATTTTGTGCGCTTGCTGCTGTACTAAAATACTAAAATACCAACACAAAAATGGCAGCAAACATGGATGAGATGTTTATAACTGTACAGAGTGTTAATACTCCTTCACATTGTTCTGAGATGGACAAAGATGTCGACCAACTGCTGTTGACTACAGATGACTGGACCGGGCCACTCAGACTCACCAGCCATCACTGTCGGCAGCGTTGACATTGACGCCAAACTGAACCAAGAACTTGACGATCTCGGTGTGGCCAGCGCAGACGGCGTTGTGCAGCGCCGTGATGCCCTCATCGTTCGGCATACTTGGGTCGTCAACCTGCATATGGTCACAGATCGTCTCATGAATGTCAGTTGTAACACGTAGATGAACAATCCATATAAACATACCAGTAGATTTGGAATGTTGCATGAAAAAGCTAAAACACAAACTGTGACTAAGTTAGATCGGATCAAATATGATAAGATAACCTTTTATTAATCCCACAGTGGGGAAATGTGCAAGAGTTGCTGTAACAGGCTGCCAGAAATGATCAAGTTAACACTGAGTTAACACAAATAAGTCATAACAAGTAAGTATTAAAGATATTCTTCAACACTATAGTGCACCCTGCTGTTGTTGTGGATTAGTGGGAAGTGGAGGATCCCGATGCTGTGCTCAACATGGTGTCATCCGTCAGCTACCGGCGATGGACAAAGAGAAACCACAGATTCTTCTGTAAAAACTTAGTAGCTTTGCAAGTGCCTCTCTCCCTGGTGGATGTGCAGAGCAAGACCAAACTAGAGTGTAGTGTCACTCACGTCGTAGATGACTCTCTGGACGAGGTCGTACTCGCCTTCTAGGGACGAGTCCAGCAGCAGGGCCAGAGGGTTGAACTTGACCCGCATACTGTGGTCGATCCGCTCTGAGCTGGCTTTACGAAGGATCGACTTCTTACCCTGACAGACAGATAAAACAGAACAGTGATGGAATAAGAGCGTATTTTTTAAAAATAATTTTGGTAAACGTTTTAATATATTGTTCCCCCTTTACTCACAGGTGGCACTGTGACCTGCCCGGTCACCTCTGGTGGTTGCAGGTTGACGTCGTCCCCCTGCTCCACCTCCCCACAGCTCGGGTAAGGTGGAGGTGGGTATGGGGGAAACTCCTCTGGAAAGTGGTCATGAACTAAGGTAGAAGGACACATCTCCTCTTCCTCTCTGTCCTCCAGTGGTGGGGGCAGGGTGTGGCAGGAAGTGGGATCAGGGAGGGGCGAGCGAGGTGGCAGTGGAGGTGGGGTCAAGGCGTCCTCGGGGCTCTCAGCGGACAGTTCGTCAAAGGGAGCGCCGCTGTTGTCTTCCACCCTAGACGTTATATCCACGCCGCCCATCCTGTCCTCGTGAGCTGCTGGCTGCACGTACGCTCCAGCTGAACCGACTGTCTCCATGGGGATGGTTTCCATGGCAGCCAGAGTGGTCTTCTGGTAGAGGAGCTTCTGGATATTGGGTCCGGCCGGGCCTTCAGGCTCTGTGATGGAATTGCGTTTCTTCAGAGGCCGGGGGGCGTGGTGCAACCGGCGCCGCAGGGTCTCCAGGTCGGCGTCGCTGGGGTTTCTGTGAGGGTTGGACAGGAAGGGCAGGAGCTTGGTGGGACTGAGCGGTCGAGGGTTGGTGCGTTCCACCGTGTCTCCTCCGCCGCCTTCGCCACTGCCTGGGCAGCTGTTGTCAGACTCGCTGCCGTTAGACACGCAAAACCCAAAATTCAAGACAGCGTTGTCTGAGCTTTGCTGCCCCCCGCTGGCTGGGAGGACTGGCTTTCCATAGACTGAGGAGGGAGAGACAGAGAGTAGAATCAGCAGGAGGAGTTTCTAATGTGAAAAATGCTGCATAAAGCCATCTGTCCTCAACAAACCATTTATTTATTTAACCCAATATCACAAAACATCAATTAGGACAAGGGAAAAACATAATAAATACATCAGTAACTGTAGCAGCTGGTTTAGCTGTAATAGAAGTAGCAGAGACGTGACAGACACTATTTAGATTCAACAACTTGGACCTTTGCAATTGCAAACACAACAAAGTGCCAACCAGACCTCAATAAACTGTTTTTTTTGCCACAAGATACATTAATTATTTTATTGCTTTGACTTAATTTTATCTGCTGTGTTTTTATATTGTTTTAATTGATTTATTGTGAAGCACTTTGTTTTAACAGATACGAGTGGTGGGACATGTTTGATTGTGTTAGAAGTGTACTGCTCAGACTCCATCATGATAAAAATAGTTTTGACACACCAGTTTTCCAAAATGCAAACATTTTGCATGATGTTTGTGACTACAAGTGTTTCAAACATTTCTGACAATTTGCCAAATACAGACATTTCTTGTGTCGTGTACCAGAGTGGTAACTATGACAGTAACAGTAGTATAAACACAGGGGCGTTACCTCGGGGCTGGCTGCGGGGCAGTGTGCCCTGGCCACCCGGCTGGTAGCCCTTCCCGGGCGTAGCCTGCTGCGTGTACATGGAGTAGATGGATGAAGCTGCCAGAGTCTTTGGCTTCTGCAGCACAGGAGGGGGGCCGTCCGAGAGGTCCGGGGTGTAGGGGCGCACGGCGGCGGCCGGCGGACTCTCCTGCTTGCTGGGCAGAGGGAGGGTGTTGCTGTGGCTGGAGATGATTCCCAGAGCCCTGAGGTGGCCCCCGACTGGCTTCACCTTACCGGGGAAGGTCCCGGTGCTGTAGGTGGGCTTGGCGAAGGTTGGTGGGTCAGAGGAGGAGAACGGTTTGGGCTTACTGGGAACTGGAGGCGGCACCATCTTGGCCAGACCTTTACCCGAAGCCTAAAGTAAAAGCAAATATGGAAATAAGGACAGAATGAGACTCAGCAGAGCGAGATGACAGAAAAGAGGGAAATCAAACATGTCTTTTAAATTGATAAACTGAAATGTGATATGAGCCAACACAGAGACTAAAATAAGAATTCAGCAGCTTGAGAATTTGCTGTGCACCACTTTGCACCAGATCTGACTGTATGTGTGAACACGTGTGTGTCTGCAGACGTCCACTGAGGTACAAACAGAACCGCGACTGTGTCCGTTTTAAACTCTACCTGAGCCTCAAGTCTTCACAGAAAAATTTAATTTCTGTTTTCAATTATTCTCTGACAGATGACCAATAAAAAGATGCAGCTTTTTATTGGGTGTTAGGAATTGAGAGTTGAAATAATCTGCACTTATATAGCAGCTTTTATCCAAAGAGCTTTACAATGTGTTTCTCATTCACACACACTCACACACCAGTGGTGACAGAGCGGCCATACAAGGTGCTGCCTGCCATCGGGAGCAACTTCAGGTCCAGTGTTTTGCCCAAGGACACTCTTATTATTGGATGTTGTGGTGTAGTTAAATGATACCAGAGAATTCTGCTAATGCGAAGGTTGATTTCAAATTCACAAAGCTTTTATATATCACAGCTTTCTACATTTAAAAAATTAGTTAAGAGTTTTATTAATTACACCTCGTTAAAGACAAATAAGCTTCCATTTTATAGCAAGGAATGGAAGTAAGAGTCCACTGATACCTGATTGTCCCTGAGCAGGTTCTCAGCAGTGTGATTGGTTCGTGAAGGGACAGGTGGCGGGAGGTCAGACCCGGAGGGACCCTTCTGATTGGTGAAGGTCTCACCACCTAAAAAGAGAAAATAAAAATGTTCTTTTCCGGGGGAATTTTTTAAACACAGCTGACAGACTTCCCATCTACCAGACAGATGCTTAATTCCTTCTCTTGTGGGTTGGATTTTAAAAAATAGAATAATGAGCGCAGGTGTGTGAGTAGGATTGACAAAAAAATAATAATCTCGACAAAGAAATGTCAGTGCTCATCCCCTTGAAGACTAACGAGCAGTGAGTCTACTGTAGCCCAGATCAGTATTACACATTTTGGGTGTAACTGACCTGAGTTGTGGCAGCTGAGGCTGGACATGCGAGGTAGCGTGGAGGCATGGCTGTAACCTCCACCGGATTCAGAAAACGAGCAGCTCCAGTCAGAAAGTTTTGTTATTTTTGAGGCGTTGAAACCTGTGAAGGACAAACAAACTGTAGTGATTGACACAAGACCAATGAAGTTTCAGCACGCTGCCACAGACGGTCAAAGATGTAGATAAATCTACTCCTTGTTTCCTGTTAACCTGCAGAGTACCTGATTGCGTACTTGAGGCTGGTTTGGCTGGTCTGGGCGGCGGCTTCAGGGACGAGTCCGGCATGGGCAAGGTGGCAGTGCCGTCCGGGTACGCTGGCTTCACCAGAATCTCCTGGTGAGGCGGCACCGGAGGCCCCTGAGAGGTGGATGTAGAGGATGACTGTATGTACGGCCCCACCGCTGCCACTCTGGAGCCTACGCCGTGCTGAGGGGCCACGCCATCCGAGACCACCTGGAGGGAACACAAACATTTGACTCCAGCCTTCATGGTCTGTGTTTGTCTGTGGGTAGAAGCTAGTTTCTGTAAGAAATGGGACTAATCAACCAAAGGCACCAAAACCGTTCAGTCCAAACAAGTTTCTCCATTATAATGCATCCAAAAAATCCCTAACACTGGAAAAAAAGTCTGACAGTTTCTTTATTCACATAAACTCACCGGCAGATTCTCCTTCTGCTGCAGGGCGGCCTTCTTCTTCCAGAGCCGCTGCCGGAGCTCGGCCAGCCGCCGGTCCATGGCTGCCACCTCCAGGTTCCTCTTGTTCAGGCTGTCCCTCTGCTGCTGCAGCCTGACGCTCTGGTCCTGGTTCAGCTTGTTCCTCAGCTGGGAGGGAAGAGGGTATCAGTTCAGCGACAGGAGAGAAAACAGGGTTTCTGGGTCCTTTGAGCTAAATTCAAGACTTTTTCATGAAGGCCGGAGCACTACAGCGTGTAGGACCCTCTTGAAACTGAAGGAATTATTGTTTCCTGAAACAATTGCATTGTTGAGGGCCAAAACATGCTCAGAAACTCATGTTTTGGTCGTTGTACATATGTGTGGTAAAATGGCTCCATAGCGCCCCCTGCATTATTTACTACTGGTAGCACGTTTCACCTGCATCCATGAAATTTGGTAGACATATGCAGCACAAAAAAGGCAGTGGTGGCCATTGACCTACTACAAAAATCGGTGTTGCAGCTCGGGACGCACATAAAAAAGTCCATCAGTGCGTTTCCATACACTCAACAGGAAAACCACCATTTTGAAAAAACGGCGAGCATGCCCAACGATTTTGGCTCATTTTTGGCCATTTTCAAAATCTATCTCCTCCTAGGGGTTATGTCGCACACACCTGAACTTTGGCCATCACAAGTTACAGGACATGACGATTAAAAGGTATTAAAATCTTCTGCAAACCTCTGACGGCGTGGAAATGCCAGCCCGTGCAATTTCGATGAAAGGCCATTTTGCGAATTTTCACTGTTTCCAGCATTCAACGGAGTCCTGTCGGAAGGCCATTTCACCTCGGCCCACAAAATTCAATGGGCATGTGTAGCAGTTCAGGATGCACAAAAAAGTCAATTAGCACCAAGCCTTAAACCCAACAGGCTCGTCATTAAAGAGGAAGTGGCTTGTAACTAGGCTGGATGGCCGACAGTCGTACGGCGAGGACGCGTCCATCGCTGCTTGCAGCTTTAATACTTGTTTCACAATCATCTAAAGCATGAAGAAAAACCAGTAGCAGAGATGTCCAGTATGCTACACATTCATTTGTTATTGATATCACATCCTGTTAGAAGATGGTTGGATTATTTAATAACCTAAAGTTTTTGAATGTTTTTGTGCTTCCCAACAACGGCAGCTGGCAGCGCTGACAGTGTTTGGTACAGAGCTGATGAAGACTGAAGCACCACAAAAAAAGAATCGAACGGCATCCTGTCACACAATCTGCTGTTGCACCAACCACACATTTACACTCCAGAGGTAGGAGAAAGTACTAAAGACTTTTGAATGTGACATTTACTTCACTTCTGGAATAGTTTTTAAGACCTTTATTGAAGACCTCCTCCTGTGAAAATCTTTCCCCCCTTGTTAACATGTGGAGTTTGGTTTGCTTTTTAATATGCTGGAAGACACTTCATAAGGGAAACAGGCAGCCAACACTGTGGCCAAGTAAAACAAATGGACCAATCCTGTCAGGCTGCAGAGCTGGGCTTTCGGTATCATTATTATTCTTTAATACCAGTTTATGGTTCCTACTGAATGACTGCATTTAGCACAGAGAGTGTAGTTTAGTATGAGCACCTGAGATGCTCGTCTGGTGTCTCACCTGCAGCTCCTTATAGAGGCGCTCCAGCTCAGCTGTGGAGGAGGTGTTGTGGTGGTGAGGAAGAGGAAGAGGAGGCTCCAGTCTGTTGCTCCTCAGCGCCTCCAGCTGGTCGCTCAGCTCCTCCACTCTGGCCACAGCCACCAGCAGCTCCCTCTGCTTCTGCTGGAACAGACCAGTCATCTGCTCGATCTCCTCCACTGACACACAATCACAGGAACAGGAACTCAGAGCAGAGTCAGTTTGATACCTGTCGACTTAGTCAGGACAATTTTTGAGGAACCTTTTTTTTTAAATTCACGAAAGAATAAAAATGCATTTGTCTAAAATCAGCAAAATGTTGACAAAAATCTGACTGTACCAGATGAAGACACAAGACAACAAACCTGGAGCTACACACTAAAGACAAACTCTGGCCTAAACACACAAGCAGCTGAGCACATGTGACTCTGAAATGATGTCACAGTTACATTTGAAATGACAAGCGGCTTCACGTAAATCCTGTAATTTCTGTAAATATGACCCTGAGTCAGGGCCAGATCTACTGGATCTCATTTCAACTAAGCTGATCTGGTCCAAGCTGTCTGATGGACAGTTTCCATTAACTCCATTTCATATACTTAGATGTCCATCTGTGCTTTCTGCGCACCAGGCTATGGAATGATTACTGCTGACTCAACAGTTAAACAGTGAATATATCCTGCTGTTGCTTATGTGAGAGAGAATTTGCATTTAATTACAAATCAGTGCACATCTTTTAGAAGCACTGTGGTCTGTTGCTTCACCTCATTTTGAACCAGTGATTCCAGTAACTTCTTATACAGTATATTTTTATATCTCTTTAATCTTCATTTCTTTTCTGCTTTTGATTTGAAAAAGCAAAATAAATATCTTGAATGTTCCTTATGCAGCTTAAAGCCGAGGTAGGCAGTATTGTTTGGGCACTACTGGGCATAAAATGTCATACCACCTTTTCAGCATATAGTAAGTCAAGTTGTCCAAGAGGAAATTAGATTTCTGCATCTCCTCTTCACTCTGTTGTCAGGCTTTAGAAAATCTAGCCCATGATGGGAAATGTCAGCCAATCACAGGGCTTTTGGCCCTGAGAGAGCAGAAAGAGTGCACAGTGTAGGTTATGGTGGTGCACCGGGATAAATGGAAGCCTTTGACTTGAGACAGTGAGGTTTGAGTTCCACTTGAAGACATAAATACTGGTTTTTGGCTCGACAGCTTTTGCACATGGCCGTGCTTGTGTGGTGGGAGGGGCTTGGACGGTTAACAGGGTCTGAAGACAATTACTGGCTAACACCTTGTCCTCAGTGTCTGCCACTGACGGTGACTTAGAACAATAATGTCCAGCTGTCACATGATCGCTGCAGAAACCTGAGACACTACAGCGTTGCCACACCATTGATAGGCTGTACCTGGAGCCTCAATCTAAACCAATAAAACTATGATATTTTCCTGTGAAATGCTACAGAGGCTGTCCACCCACACGACCTCAGAGATACTGACCTAGTTTGCTGTTACTGAGACGTTTCTGCTCCACCTGGCCCCTGAGGGCCCGAACCCTTCGCAGTTTGGCCTCTTGGTTGTGTGCGTTCTCTCTGAGCTGTCGCAGTCGCTCCTGTTCGGACGCCTCCTGCTGCTGTTGCTGCCGCTGATCCTGCAGCTTCAGGTACCGTAGTCGCTGCTCCTGCAACAGTAACAGTCGTCTGTATTAGCTGAAAACAAGGCGAGGTATGGCATGTAGCACTGAAGTCCTGTCATACTAGCCAGTGACGGATCCCTTCTAGAGACACAAAATCAACCACTGAACTTGTTTCGTCCAAAAACCTTTTGTCCAGTCATACATATTCTGTTACAGTCAGTTCAGAGTGAATTTGTCTGTGTGTTCCTCGACCCTTTGTTGTGTTCACAAGTCAACAACAAAACAGAGAGAATGAGGGGGTTGATCAGGGCAGGTAGCAGAGGTAACGCGTAGGAGGTGAATCTGGTTGTGGTAGCAGCAGTCATAAAGCAGCACTGTTATGAAGGCAGAAACATGAGCGCTTGCACTGGGGTCGTAGGGTAGTGGTCGTGGTGTTATTGGCAATAAAAGAAGTATAAGTAGCAGCATTAGCATGTTGTCTGAGTTGCACCTTGGAGGCCAGTAGCTGCTGCTGGGCGTTGATTTGCTGCTGCTGTCGGGTTGCCAGATCCTGCAGCTCGCTCAGCGTCACGTCCAGCCGAGGAGCTGAGACCTGCAACACATGCAGAGTCAGAGTTCACCTTCACATGGACGGATACCTTCAAAGATGCATCACACCCTGCAGCCTCCACACTCATGCACAATTTAAAACTGCAATGCGCACCTTTCTGAACATGACACTATTTCTGTCCAATTACAGCTCAGACGAAAGAGACTCGTGCGTGGATTTGTTTCAAGTTGTTTTGGCTAATCTGCAGTAAAACATTTACTTTTACAGAAAGTGAACAGAGATTATCTACATCTTTTCCTCTGACTCTAAGTAAAAGTGTCTCACCCCGTTCTCCAGACATCTCTCCACACAAGCCTTCACCTGGTTCCTCTTCATCATTTGATCTGCACTTCTGGATCCACCTGGACACAAAAACAGAGTTCGTACCGATGCAGATTTTTACATTTTGAGCCAGGCTCTGTGGATGCTAATGCAGGTGTGTCAGTCCAGCACTCTGGTGCAAAATATCTCAACAATGATCGGATGAATGACCAAGAAGTTTGTCCATTAAAGACAAAGGATGAAGCCTCATGACTTTGATGATACTGTGACTTTTCATCTGCCACCAAGATAGCTAGCGAATCAGTTTATCTGTCCTCACAGAGCAAATCTTTTTTCTGCAGTGGTGCATACATCACACAAACCAAGCAGTGCCTACAGACCCACCACACAGATGCACTATGATGCTGCAGCGAGCGCTTAAGTGATCCCAGATCCCAAAATGTAATCCTGGAAACCCTTAACTACCACAATAGTGGTTTTAAGTACCTGCCAGGTGTTTACATGTCTGTTTGTGGACCGATACGGTCAACATAGTAGCATCACAAATGTGTGTGATGCAGTCATGAAACTTTACAAGTGCATAATTCAGGTCAAGGTGATGGCTGAGGTTGAATCTGGTTGTGCTGCAACCCATGAGTACTGAGTATTCTTGTAGTAACGTAGTAATAAGTACTGAGTACTCAGTCGGGGCATCAACATGTGGACAGGCATCACGGCTGGTCTGCTCTCATCACAAGATGGTGTCTAGTTAGTTGGTCCTGCTATGGTCCCGGTTCAGTTTTGGTCCTGTTATCCCTTGCCCCGGTTCTGCTTCGTCCTGCTCGCCGTGGTCCTGGCTCCTCCCACTGGCTTCCCACCAATCAATACTTGTCATAGTGTTGCGTTTGTTGAAACACAACCAAGATAAAGGAACTGCCTCTAAGGCTTAAACATTGTGTGGTGGTGGGCAGGTGTGATAGCCATCAAAGTTTTTCTTACCTGCATCTCGTCCAGGAGCCCGTTGGTGACGCAGGAGGTAACGGACCTCCCCCCTCTGCTGCCCCCATCGCTGCAACACCTCCAACATCCGCTCCCCGTCTCCAATGACGCGCTCTGGATGGTTGGAAAACAGAACATACAGTGAACAAAATGAGAATACAGAGCACTCGGTCCCACCTGTGTGTCTGTTTACATGATGTGGTCGAGGACATGTGGACGTAGAGTAGAACAGTGTCTCTGTTTCTGGATTCTTCTGTGACCACTTAGACCATAACAGCTGTCACATGGGATCCGTGTCACTTGAATTTCACATTATGTCTAATGTCAAAACATCTTTTCACCATCTCTGTGATATTGCCAGAATCTAACCAACTGCAACTTGTTCCAAGCACTGCTGCAAAAAAAACCCCAAACCCTCAAGGAAATGCAATCACATCAGTCAATCCTGATTCTGCTCATTACACGAATCTGATTAACTCCCTGATCTAATTCCACCAAAATACACCAGCAGGCCTCTCGCATCCTCCTGGTTCTGGATATGGATCAGTCGACACGATTCGTAAAACATCAGCTGTTCAGGAGCGTTATAGAGAACAGCTCTTTGTCAGGAAACATTTAAAGCCAGTCTGTTTGTTTGTCTTACAGTAAATAACTTACCCTGTTTGGTCACCTCTCTTTGGGAGTTCTATTGTCATAAGCTGTTAATGCTGTCTTCAGTGTCTCCCTGTGTAGACTGTGTTCGCCCTCTGAATCCCCAGCAGTTAGCATTTCAATCATTTTTTACTGCAACTTTAATATAAAAGATAATATGCCTTTCAAACCCACCGGCGGGTTTTGAGGTTCAGAGAGACTTTTGTGTGACAGTGAGCTTCAAATACATTCTTGACTTGGCTCGACTCCTGTGAGTCTGTTTTCCCGTCGCCCTCCAGTGCACATAGCCACCTCCATAAGCAAACCTTTATCCCAGTCTGGTGTGGCCAGTATGGAGTTCTCACCTCATCTCTTTCCAACAGCTTTGGGATGAACTGAAGCACTGATGGTAAGACAGACCTTATTACCCTTAACCTCACTGGCACTCTCTGGCAGAACAGGAACAAGCCAGTTAAGGTATTCTCAAGTTAGCAGCCCCGCAACATCCAGTGGAGGGTTCTGGCTTCTGTACAAACTCACCTGAGCCTCTCCACATCTCAGCCAGGTAGCAGTCGGTCTCGCCAGGCTCCTTGCAGAGCTCCACCACATCTCTGCATAGCGTCTCTGGGGTGATGGGAACCTCGTTGAAGTGGTGGTCGTTGTTGCTAAGGTACACGGTGAGGAACATCTACAAACACAGAGCAGATGAAGCAGAAAAATAAGGGTCAGGTAACATCAGGAATCCAGAGTTCCTATAATTAAATATCATTTGCCACAGGGTAGGAAAACGGCTGCTACAGCATCGCCAGCACATCCGGCCTCTCCAAACTCCTAAACTTCGCCAGGCAGCACTTAAAACTACTGATTTCTCTTCTCAAATTTATCCAGACTTCAGGGTCGAGGTTGGCAGAACCCACACAGCAGTCTGTCCACTCTCTGTGGGTTTCTCTCAGCAAACGTAGGTCCAAAATCCAAAATCCAAAAATTGTGGAGGGAGTGGACATTGGAGAGTAGGAGGACGGTCCTGCTGGTCTGGAGGGGTTAGCCTTTAGCCTGGCATGGATCCGGCTCTCTTCCTCCTCCTTTGTTTATGTTGGTACCACGTCCTTCTCTCTCGGGTAGCTGCCGGCGTCGTCTCCAATCGGACTCCGTGTTGGTGCAGTTTGTCCACGTCACAACTGACGTTCATCGCCCTGATGTTCAGCAAAGTCTCTCGACTGTAAGTTTTGCAGAATGAATGTCTGGGATAGACGAGACACTCAAAACTTTCACTCTCGCTGTCTCCTGAAGGGGGCGCTGTGTCCATGTGTGCCGCCATCTCATGAGCTACCATTCTGAAGCCTGGAGTTTGGAATTTGGCTGACGCTGTCTTGCTCTTTTGAACCCTGACATGATGAGTGAGAAGTCGAGGACACTACAGGCTGTGATGTAGCAACCTGTCAATCACCAGGGAGCCTCGTCTGAAGGCATAAACTCTAAATGGGACCATAAATCACTCACTGAGCAGGATGATGGATTCAAAAGCTCTTTAAACTTGTTCTTGGGACCATAAATTTATCAGAAAAATGTTTATTGAGATAAGGAATCAAATGAGAAGAGGGTCATTTTTCATAGACTTCTACAGAGACATCTTCAGACATCGTTTTGCAACCTAAGGTGTTGCCCCTGCTGGCTGTTAGAAATAATGCAGTCTATTGTCCAATGACAGCCCAGCAGGTGTTGACCAGTTTCTAGGAATGGTTTACATTAAGCTAAATAATGTAATGTACAGTCTTCTTTTAGAAAACCTACGGTATAATCTAAAAATAGCCGGCAGTCAGTAATGTCAGGCTTCCAGTGACAGTCCTTTAACAGATTGTGTTGACAGGTAAACCAGGATGGAGCTGATGAGCTCAGCCCACAGAAGCATAAAAACAAAACCTGTCTTCTTCAACTTCGTGGCAGCTTCCTGTGCTATTTAAGACTATAACAGATATTTGTGGACATAACTCCCATGATGCACTGGGCCATCTGTTACTCCAGCAGGGTATCTGCTGATAGGCCCAGAGCCAGATTGCTTCCCACAGCCCGCCAACCTGCACAGAGGCAGTGTTCAGTGTTTTCCAGCCTTTCTTTATCCTGTGAAGGCCGTACTGAGCCGCAGCTTGCTCAAAGGCTCATCGGAGGCTACTGTACGTGAACACTTTCTGTGTTTGCTAAGGTCTGGACCTTCAACCTGACCTGTTGTCAGGCCTCGTCTACGCTCCATCTTCACTTTGTTCCACTTGGTCTGGTCTGAAAAATGAGCTGCCTTCTTTGACCTTTCTGTTGGCTTTTCAGAGACGGCACTCACAGAGCAAAGCTTTGCTGCAGCGTCATTAACATGCAGATTGTTGGCCGTCGCTGATGCTAAACTGAAGCTCAAAAAAACAAAATAGATGCTCTGATGCACGGGCAAACAAAGAAGAGAAAAATAGAGGGACAGCACTTCCAGAAAAGTCCCATTCTAGTGTTCAGTTCAATTTAATTTTATAAATATAGCACCAGTTTACATCACACATCATCTTATAGCACTTCACATGGTGGGGTGATGACACATTTTAAAGACAGAAGCCTAACATGTCCTCTGGCTTCCTTTGGAGATACTAACATGTTCACAGGGACAAAGTATTCACCCCCCTTGCACAAATATTCACCCCCTTCAGGTCAGTATTTAGTAGATATTTGATATTTGGCCGGATGATGATGCCTGAGGAAAGGCCTCTCAGGAACATGTAGCTCTGAGCCTAATCTGAATCCACCCAAACGCTGCAGAAACATTTTACACACACCACAAATCTTAATCTCAGAGCGGTGAAGGAAAAGTCAGAGAATTTAAATTTTGTACCAAATCCATGTGGTTGAGGCTACAGTAGTTTACTGGATAACAACAACGAAGCAAAGTGGAGCCGGAGGTAGCCACAGCCATTACCGCCTGAAGACCTGAAGTGAAGCCTGTTGGAGGGCGACACACACAGAGCTGGAGGGATGTCTATCAACCTCTATCGTTTAGGCAGAAATATTTCTCTATGGCTGTTGTTCCTTTTCAGATTTAACAGCAAACCACCCTCTATTCAGCCACATGCGACCAAGTGGTTCTGACCAACCAGAACACGCTCACACTGCATGGTTTGGGTTTAGCTGTGGATTTAGTTGCAGCTCTTGTATGGACTCTCAAAGACTTAAATCTGCTTTCACGAGTTCTGCAAATGTGTCCTTCAAGCTGCAGAACGATGTAAGACTGACCCAGAACCTGTAGCCAGAACAAAGAAGCAAAAGGATGAATGGACAGAGTATGAGACTGTGATTATCCTGATGTTTATCAAAACTAGCGCTCAGCTGTTTCCACACGACAGTTTCACCTGCATAAGCAAATAACAAAAGTTCTGAACGTCCTGATAAGAACGACCCTAAAACCAGAGTTTGTACGTTCAGAAATGAACCCTCTGTGACACACTGTGAGGACATTTGCTGACAATTGGCACAATGTGGGACCTTTAAATGATGTTGACGCCATTTCATTCTCATTCTGTGTTCAGAATAATGACAAAACGTCTTTCTTTCTGTGAGAAAGTGCTCGCAAGAAAACTGTCGAAGAAAAAATGAATCTGCGGATTCGTTGTACATCTGAGAAGAAAATGTCTCACATCGAGGTAGCAGATAAAGTGTGAATCTGCCAGAGAGAATTTTCTCTTCAGGCGTTGGAATAAGTCCACAGACTCACCAACAGCCAGCTCAAAGCTTCCTGCTGCCAGTTTTCAGACACCCATGAGGACAGACATGAGACGGATTCTGGGTTAAACTCTGCATGTTTCACTTTCTAAGCCCTTATTACTCTGGGAAAGGTTCTTTAAGGTAATAATCATTTTGTCAGCTCCGTCCTGGTTTGCAGTCACACTGAAAGGTTACCAGACAGCCACAGTGGACTTGAAGCTGTTCAGCTACAGCAAATAAAAAAGGAGGAGCTTCCATTTAGCAGCACTGTGACCCATTAGCTCCTCTTCGTGGGAAATGTTTGATCCTTCTGTCAGTGACAGTAACCTGACCAGTGTTCTTAACAGGAAACTGAAATCATTAAGAAATCACGAAGCCACTCCTTCATTTCGAAGATATAAACTCAACTTCGGCAGTAACTGCAGCTGTGAAACTCGGTGACAGAGATGAATTAGTCTCAGGGAGGAGCGGCCGTCCAGCCACCGAGGTGTCCCACATAAAGCTCTGAAGGAAAACTGGAGCAGCACCATCTTCCTTCAGGTTCATGCAGATGAAGTGGGTCACAGCCGTCAGTCACCAAACCGAGGTCGACCAGGAAATACTGCAGCCAATCAGAGAACGGGGAGGAGAGACCATCTGTCCCTCAGGACCATAACAGGGAGGGGCTGGCATTGGTGAGGCTGGTTACAGAACCTCAGTACGTCCTCCGAACAGACGGATGAGATCTGAGGCTCAAAACAGTGTGTATACTCAGCAGAGTGGGGTAAAGAAGGACTGATGATATGAAGTAAACTGGCACCAAAAGTGTAAAGCTGAGATGAGTTATGGTTCGAAATGCACTTAAAATCGAGGCTGAAACAACCGAGTGTTTACTGTGTATGACGTGGACATCATCTGGGCTACAACCGGACTAAAAGTAGATTTATTTACCACTGAATGAAAATCAAAACTATTCAGAAAATAACTGATCTCAGTTTGTGTTTAGAGGCAACAAATATCAAATAGAAAGCCTGCACTGGTGCAGCGTGCATATGATCGGGACACATTTCTTCTTCATACTAATACACCTCCAACTGTAGCTGCTGCAGTCTGTGGTGTGAAATGAGCCATCGTCTGTCTGTGCACTCTTGGTAGCTTAAGCTTGTTTATACTAGCGAGACACACTGTGACTTATGTGTGCAGAGGATTGTGGGTCAGAATGGGCAGAGGAGCATCCTAGCTTGCACACTGCAAATCTGACCTGATGTAGTCGGACATCCTGGGTTTTTATCTGATGTGCTACACATTGAGACGGACTAAACCTTCTCTTGGTGATGTTTCCATCACCCCCACAGGCAAGCAAATATTGAAGTTGTTGTTGTTTTTTTTCTCCAGATATTGCCGTTTCCATTCACCTTTTCTATTGCAATAGCTTGAAAGCGTATAAAAGTATTTATAGAACACGAGCTTCAGTGGATGTCGGGTCTCTCCCCTCCACAGAGCCGACCGTCACAACGTGGAGGGCCGTTACAGAAACATTTAAATGCCAAACCAATTATCCAAGGTCACATAAGTGGGGTGGAAGCTATCTAACCACATGATCTGCAGTTCTGTTATAACTTACTGGTCCCTTATTGAAAGATGCATCTTGGGAAATGTAGGATCTGGTGTTTTTAAAGCTTGGCCTGTAAGTCTATAAACATTGGCATCTTATCTGCAATATCCACACTGATGGTGAATGTCTGAGTCATTTCCAGCTGCCAGTCATGTCTCTAACAACCTGAAGCTGAAATTAAACTGACAGAGGACCTGAGAGTGAACCTGCATGTCAGCCGGTTCTTCAAGTCCTGAGGCTGCAGCTCCTAATCCAACCAGGAATTAGCACAGACCTCCACCCCCCACTGCTGCCGAGGCAGAAATTAATGATCCATCTACTGCCTGAAAGACATCAACAGCTTCTGCTAAACAATGACCAACATGTGGCCGCCTCCTAATCCTGTTGCTGACCAGTCAACTCCTGAGAGCTCGCGTCATGAGGTCACCAACATGTTGACACAGACGGTGTTTCAGGCCACGAGACACTGTTGACATAAAGAATATTTCGAGACATTTCATGATTGTTTTATCATCTCTGAACAAACTCTTATAACTTTTTGGCAAAATAAAAACCTTTCAAATCCTTTTGTTGCCACTCAGAAGTGCAGCTTCAACACTTCTCCCAGCGCTGACTCAAACGTCTACGCAGCACCAAGTGTCAAAAACTGTCGAGGACTGAGAGGTGGCACTGAATGTCTGATCAGACTGGGATCCTTTACGTCTTTGTTCGTTTGTCAGGTTAGGAATTTAGATCATTGTTTTGTCTGTTCCATTATTTTAGCAGAAGTTCTTTTATAAAGTTTCAATTCTACAATTAAAAAAAGGTTTTGTCAAGAAAAATGCTTAAAATCAGCAACACTAGGACTGAAATAGATCGTGATCATGTCGTTTTAGACCAGTCCTGCAACCACTATATGGACACATCAGGAATTAAATCAATAATCTTAATGTAGGAACTTAAATGATTACAAAATTGGATCCAAATCGTCACCAGAACAGAGAGCGGAAAACCAAGAGAGGGAAACCTTCAGAAAGAAGGTTGCTTCTGCAGGCAGGAGGAAACAGATCAACCAGTGCTGGAGCAGGACCACCAGACTGAGCGCATACATCCGACTGTCAGCGCAGCGAAGGACTGATGTTTTCATTTGGTCCTCGACTCCGTTCTATTTCTGCTCGGGGGAATGTGGTGGCAGCTGGCACACTGCAGGTCACATCCCAAATGTTTTGTAGGCGGCATGAACGGCTGGAGCCATATGGCCGACAGCGTCACGTGACGCACCAATATTGGATTAACCACACACACACACACACACACACACGCTAAAGCCTGCCTGCTGCTCAGGATCCCATCACAGGACAACGTAAACACAGGATGCTTCCACGCTGCCATTGTGTTGAAAAGACGCCTTCTGATTGGCTGCCCGTTTGTTCAAATCCCATCTTGGGATAATGCAGACGCACACTTACTAGTCACTGACCAGCTCACTGTTCTGGTCATAGTGTGGCTTTACTGTAATCCACCAATACAGCAGTCTGTCTGGTTGTCTTGTTTAACTGTCAGCTGTAATGTGACACCTCTGAACCGACCTGACTAATTCTAGATGAGTCCATTCACAGACACATTATTCCACAGTGGTTAGCAGCTTGCAGTCAGGCTGGATAAAAGCCAGTGTAGCTATATTTTAATCATGTTTATATTTGTTTTGCTATGATAATGAGTAAAACACACAAACTAACAGGGTGAGGCTGTTTTCTGAATGAGCTACTATCTCTGTGTTAGAAGGGCATTTTATGTAGATCAGCTTCTCCTGATGGAGGTTGTCAGAAACGTTCCCACATGTCCAATACGGAACATGAACTAATTACATAACTGGTATGACATGAAAGCGATCTTTTCATTATAATAGCTTTGGATCATTTTAATAATATACAACACTTTATGGGCTGCAAGGTGGCCCGGGGGTTAGCACGGTGGCCTCGCAGCAAGACGGTCGTCGTTTCACGGTGAGGACACATCATCTCTACACCTTAATCCTCACTAGGGTCACTGGAGTCTATCCCAGCTGACTCAGGGTGAAGGCAGGTTCACCTGGACAGGTAACCAGTCTATCACAGGGCTACACTTAGAGACAGACAACCAAGCACACTCACATTCACACCTACGGACAATTTACAATCACCAATTAACCTCAGCATGTTTCTGGACTGTGGGAGGAAGCCGGAGAACCCGGAGAGAACCCACGCTGCACGGGGAGAACATGGAGACTCCACGCAGAAAGATCCCGGGTGTCCTCACCGGGACGCCAACCGGCGACCTTCTAGCTGTGAGGCGCTAACGGTGCTAACCAACAAGGCATCTTGCAGCCCCGATGAAAAGCAGTAAATAAGAATTCACTGGGAGTATCTGGGAAGTTGTGACACAGGTTGTTGGAGCCATTTATGTTTGTTGTCGGCAGGTAATTTAATATGGATTGTTTGGACACATGGTGGCGGTAACTGGACACAGGGTGTATATGTAGAGGCACAGGTAGGGGGACGCCAACAGTTCTCACCAGACCAGCATCAAACCCGTGCAGATACCAAATTCACCGTAGAAAAACCGCTTTTGTTTTATGCATATCATCGAATAAACCATCCACTAACAGAAAGTATACAGACTGGAGATTCTGTTTTTTGGTCTGCATCGGTTCACTCTGCTCCACCTGCGCAGTAATTAAAGAACATTGAAAAATGGCCATTACACAGGTCATGTTGCTTTTCACTGAACCGATGCGCCTTTTTATCTTCTCTGGTGTCAGAAAGAGCTCAACAAGACCACGGGTGTGACTCCTTAACCGCTTTCTGTACAGCAGAATTACTGGGAGCTCAAGACTGCATCGACCGTCGTGTTCATGAGGCAACACCGTCCAAACTGACAGTTTTCACACCATGACATCCCGAACAGGCAGCAGAGTTCATGTGAACCAAACTAAGCAGGTCAGGTGTGACAGCCCTCTGAGACGCCCCACTAGCGGTGAAGCTAAAATAGAGAAGTGCTCTGCTTTGTGCTGTGTAGTGAACATTAAAGCCTCACGGTGCTGCCAACATGCAAACAGTTCCCCTTAGATGTAATAAACGGAACAGAACTGGAACAAAGTCTCTGGTTTGTCAGCTTTGAGGCGTAAACGTCAGCATCAGGCTGACATTGTAAATGAACAGGAAGGTTACAAACGCTTTAGTTCCTCATCGCCTGAGGAATACCAAAATAATAGTGTTCCCGTATGACCTTGAACAGTGTGTGTGTGTGTGTGTGTGTGTGTGTGTGTGTGTGTGTGTGTTTTTGGTCACTGTGGCAACAGTTACCAAGCAGCACAGAGCTCCAGTGAGACTTGGAAGATGATGAGGATGTAGTATAATGATCAGGGTGTGCTGCCTTTCAAAGAAGGCCTGTATGAAACATTTAGGGATGTTTCAGCGCCTGAGCCGCCCCCTTACACGACTGAAACGGAAGGATGTGCGCCAGTTTCAGCTTCACTTTAAGACCGAACAGAGCAGGGAGCTACTTGGTTTTCTGATGTAAAAGCTCCAACAAACATGCTGCATAAATACCAAGAAGTGGAAATGGACTGTGTGCAGAACAACGCTCTGCTCTGTCAATGAGGACGCTGGTGGGAGAAGTTCAGCTGATTGTTTGTTCCTCAATAGAGCCTCAGTTTTCACAAACAGACCTCATCAAGTTCCTCTCTTTTATCATTTAGCACGCTGTGAGCGGGAACATACCGCAGCAATAACTGTCAAAATGTTCACTGACTTTCATTTGACATTTTGGCTCCAGTGGACAGTTCACAGAGAGCCTCAGACAGCAGCGCCGATCGAGGAAGAGCGAGAGCTGCGACATGACAAAGGTCCAGATTAAAACCAGGACATCACTCTGATCCGTCCGGGCTACAACCCAGAATGTCAAAGTGTTCAGAGGCAGTAAGACGGAGGATTTAGCAGCGACTGCAGTGTGGATGAAAAGGTCAGCAGCAGCAGCAGCACGGCCTCCTCCTCCTAAACCAGGAGAGTGGCACCATCCACCACGACGGCACAGGATAGGCGTCCTTCAGCTTTATGACACTGAATTTAGCCAAAACCTTTCCTACAAAGCAAGCTGAGGTTTAGTGTGTTGGTCAAGAACCCGACAGCCTCCAACATTTCATCACTGAGCAGCAGCAGCACAGAGCACAAGTCCTACATTTCATTTCTTTTGAGTGTTGATCAACTTTTAACTTTCTAAAATCAGCTTTCATCCAAACTGCTGACAGCTTGAGCGCTCACAGATTATGTGACTGTTTTCATTCATTCCCTGAAAACAACCAGATGGAGCCAACAAACGATCCAGACCATCACTTAAATCACAAGTTGCTGTTTCAAACTTTGGTTTCTGGATGTGATCAGACACCTCAGCTGTCTGGTCCTGTACAAGGCCTCACACAGACCTCTCAGCTGATATAAAGGAGTCACATTAAACACTGTTATTAACATCACTACTGAAAGTTAAATCAAATATATTCACATTATAGTCAGTGTTCACAATGAAAGTCGAAAAATCAGATTTTTAAAATCGATTACTTTCTCGGTTAATCGATTAGTTTATATGTCTGGCGTTGTCGACTAATCACAGAGGAGGAAGGAAACCAAACAACATTCACATTTTGCAGGCAGTAATCAGAGGATGCGGACAGTTTCCATCCGTCAGCTGTTCAGCAGGCTGTCAGCCCGGCGATGCTTCGTTCACCGCTGCAGCCACAAAACTTGGATTTTCACGGAGCTGCGACGTGATCACATGTCAGAGTCCACCAGCACCACCAGCACCAGCACCACCGTCACACTGCTGCTGCTGCTGCCGGTGGTGGACCGGACCGGACCGGACCACCAGCTGCTCGACTCACCGGCATCATGTCGGCGGCTCTCCGGCGGTTCCTCCCCGCAGCTCAGACCGCAGAACCAGAGTCCGTCCTGCACATGTCCTCCGGTTCCCCACGGAGCTGCTCGACCTGTTGCAGAGAGCCGGCCTCCCTCAGTCAGCCTCTCTATCTATCTATCT